AATTTCAAAACAGTAGTATATGTTTAACACAGCCTAGATGTCAGCCGGACCTATATAATTTCAAAGCTGGGACAGTTCAGCCGCAGCCAAGATTCTTACAAGGAAATTTATACTTACAATGTGAGGTTGGTTCTCCGAATCAGTGACTGTTGCTTTTCTTGTTAGGTCAAATTAATTTAGAAGCACATCTTGTTCAATTTAATTCTTATGTTTGGATATATTTGGGCTTTTCAGTTTTTCACATTACAATCTTAGATTTAACATATAAATAATAAAGAGATGAGTGGTAAAAATAAAGAACTAACTAATAATATGTTTACACGCGAAGTAGCTTTCTTCACAGTATTTCCCCTGGGCTACATTTAACATCGTCTAATCATTTAACACGATCATTAGTCTTATTATTTATATATTTTTGCGCGGCAGTATTAAGTACGATGAGTTTATAAAGTTTTACAGCGATTACGCGAACACATTTTCGTTATATAAACACAATTTTCGTTATAAAGAGACACAATTATAATTTATTTTATTTTTCCCGCTGAGCGATATTAAAACATTGTCAGCTCATATGACGCGAACTTCGTCCTTCGGAACGAAGTACAACTGTAAAGATGCAAATTTTGGTTACCTAGAGAGCATTAACATTGTGTACTGTTAAAGCCTACCATGCCGTGTTGTCTCCATCTAGTAAGTATTAAAGCTCCTAGATTGGTAACCTTACCTTGTTGATCCTCCGATATTGCTAGTAAAAAAGAGAACGATTTTACGAAGACATGTCCTTTTATCTGAACTTGGTGACGCTTTTAGTCCCGTTATCGCCATGCTTGCTGTAGTGATGCACTTCTTTTTTTTGTGCAAACATTATTTTCGGTTGTTTACTGCTTGTGCGAATTTTATTTGTAACATTGTTTTTGGCTGTGTATTGCTTGTGCAGATTTTATTTGAAACATTGTTTTTGCCTGTTTACGGCTTGTGCAAAATTTTTATTTAAAAAAAAAAAAATTGTTTTTGACTGCTTATTGGTGTGCTCATGCTTGTTAATTCCACAAATAAGGCAGGGCCGCGTAGTATGCTGTAACCCTAATTTTCGTGCGGGAAAATTGGGTCGTTAGAAATTTGTGTTTCCAAATTAAGCTGTAGTTTATAAACTCGTTCTAATTTAAAAACACGGTAAGTGCTTTGGTTAATGTCATTAATTAAATAAAAAAATAACAAAAAACCTGGAACTAGAGCATTAGAAGTTTGTGCAAACAAATTATATATGGACTATAAACTAATTAAAATTCGATTATTTCCTAGGACCACTGATGATGAGTACTTGACAAATTTCAATAATGCGGTCAGCCAAATTTCAATAACATTAAATAAATTTCTTGTGTTTGTCCTTTCTTTCTTTGCTATTCGAGAACCCTCTTTAAATATACATATGTGGCTTCTTTGTCACCACAGCAACAACTAGAACTATATCCTTTTATATTATAAAATGTGAAATAATTACATTGTGACCGAAAAGTTTTCGGAAATTCTCATTTAAAATTCGCGCGCTGTATATTTTTCGATATTTTAAGTTTATGTAGTTTGGCAGCACTGTCCTTAATAACTATGCCAAAATGACGCGAGCGTCGGACAGTTCGTTTACGGCAGCTGTTGAAACCAGTTCACCTCAGTAGTGCGTTGCGAAAAAAACAATGGAAAAAAATATTGAACAAAGAGTTTGCATCAAATTTTGTTTTTCGAACGAAATTTCGTGTGCAGAATCGTTGCGAATGCTACAAAAGGCTTATGGGGAATCAGTTTTATCGAAAACTCAAGTTTATGAGTGGTACAAAGCCTTTCAGGACTGTCGTACGACCGTCGAAGACATGCCGCGTTCTGGACGACCTTCGACCTCTACCACCGACGAAAACATTGAAAAGGCAAAGGAAATCGTGTTCAAAAATCCTCATGTGAGTGTTAGAGAGATAGCACGAGAGCTAGGCATCGGTCGTGAGATGGCTCGTTTGATTTTGGTGGACAATTTGTGTATGCGACGTGTCAACGCCCGGCTTGTTCCGATTCACCTCAATTTGTTCAACATTATCAACGATTTTAAGGCCAAACATTCAATAAATACCATCGAACAGCCACCGTATTCACCTGATCTTGCACCGTGTGACTTTTTCCTGTTTCCCAACCTCAAATTACCACTCAGAGGAACGCGTTTTGAATCCATAGAAGACGTAAAACAGAATTCGCAGAGGGAACTCAAAGCCATACCGGAAAGCGCCTATAAAAAAAAATGTTTTGGATGTTGGAAGAAACGTTGGCATAATGTGTATCGCTTCTAATGAAGCATATTTTGTGAAGGAGATAAAATAAATATTGATGAAGATTAAGAATTTTGCGTTTTATTTAAAATTTCCCGAAAACTTTTCGGTCACAATGTATACTTAATAATTGAGTATAAATAAAAGAAATTTAAATAAGAATCACGACTTTGAGTATTTCAGCACATATGGCTGAACTATAAGGCAATTCATACATGTCTCCGCAGTTCAAGAAACCTCACTTTCATAGTGTGGTAGCGTAATCAAACTTTTTACATTTTTGTATATGTATATAATATATTCACACAATTTTTATTGTTAAAAAATGTAGTATAATATTTATATAATAATTACTTTAATTTTTTAAAAAATTTTAGTTACTTCCGACGTGACGACAATTTATTCAACATCGTTAAAAACACGTTATATAGATAAAAATGTTATTGTTGTTCATTTGCTTCAGGGTCCGGTCTAGACAGAATTTCTTCACAAAGAGCAATATAGTCCTGTGAATATAAAAAAATGCGATTTAGTTTTTAAATGACTACGAAAACTATTATTTTCGAATACGAAAATACAGCTTATATTTTTTTTCTTACTTTTAAATTTTCAAAAATGTTTTTAATTTGTGTATAAAATAGAAACATCTAGAAATTGAGTTGCTGAATTTTAAGTATCATGCAGTTAAATGGTTTCGATACAGTTCGAAGGCCTGTTAAAAATGATAAACACTAAAATATGACCTTCACTGACATATTAAAATTCTAGTGCTTCCAAGTAAATGAGCAAGCCGCAACCACAACATTACTCGTTTACTTAATCGAGTATAATTAATATGCTGCCAAATAGATTAAGCATTTTATTATAAAACCTTTATAAAAACTTGTGTATCTAGATTTGACTAGGTACCCTAAAATTGTATTTGTATATTATTTTAAAATTTAAAAAATTATGAATTCAGACATTGAACTTCGCAAACAGAACTGTGGGTAAATAATTCCGAAACCTGAATGTTTGCTTATTGTGCATTTCTGGGCCAATGATCTAATTCACATTTAATATTTTTGATTACATCTCTCCATAAGTCGTGTGCCTAACTAAGAAAAATAAATTTTTTTCTGCAAAAAATCGATTTTCTCCTTCAAGAGCACTACTTCAGTTTGAGAGCAATAACTTTTTTCATTTTTTTTTTTATTTTCTTTTTATTTATTAGGTGAACCGGTATGAAATGAGCGTTTTTTGGTGAAAATAAAACACTAATTATTAATAGGAAAGTAAAAAACATTTTATTCAAAGTATTGGCCATTGCTTTCTACACCTTTTGACACCTTCTTTGGCAATTTGTGGATACCACGCCAAAAAATTGTTCGTCTTTTAAAGCAAACCAACCAGACACCCAATTTTCGACCTCCTCGTAGGAATCAAAGTGCTGCTCAGCCAATGCGTGTCCCATCGATGAAAACAAATGGTAGTCGGAAGGAGCCAAGTATGGTGAATAGGGCGGGTGGGGTAGCAACTCTCAGCCAAGTGTTTTGATTGCATCCTGAACCCGTTTTGCTTTGTGTGCAGGTGCATTGTCATTGAGCAAAATTACCCTGCCGTGTCTTCTGGCCCATTCTGGTCGTTTCTCGATCAATGTATGGTTCAAATTTATTATTTGTTGTTCATAGCGACCAGCATTGACGGTTTCACCAGGTTTTAGGAGCTCGTAGTACACCACATCTTTCTGGTCCCACCAAACACACAGCATTGTCTTCTTGCCGAATCGATCTGGTTTTGCAGTCGATGTTGATGGTTGTCCCGGATTAACCCATGATTTTTTCCGTTTAGGATTCTTAAAATAAATCCATTTTTTATCGCCAGTAACAATCCGATGCAAAACCGATTTTCTTTCGTGTCTGAAGCAAAATTTCACAAGTGTTTTTTCGGTTTTCCATCTGTCTTTCATTCAATTCATGTGGCACCCATTTTCCATACTTTTGGATCTTTCCCATAGCTTTTAAATTGTTTGTTGTGCAACATTTAACATTTCTGCCATTTGCTTTTGACCCAAAGTGTCATCTCCATCCAATATCGTTTGCAATTCGGCGTCTTCAAACTTTTTTGGCGGTCTTCCACGTTCTTCATTTCTCACATCAAAATCATTATTTCTAAACCGATGAAACCATCTTTTGCAAGTTGCTTCTGATAGAGCATGATCACCATATGCCTCGAGAAGCATTCGATGCGACTCAACATCACTTTTCTTCAAATTAAAACAAAAAATTAATGCTTTCCGCAAATCATCACTTTCTGGTACAAAATTAGACATTTTTAACACTATGAAAAAATATGATGTTGTCTGTTCAATGACTTGATGTATACTAAATATATTTCACACATGTCATAGCAAACAAACAAGAAGAAATAAGGGCTCGTTCACAACAAATGTTCCCTGTCGGAACATTTGTATCTTTACGCTCACTTCATACCGGTACACCTGGTATACAACTGCCAAAAATTGGCATCTAGTATTCATTTTTACATAGTCGAAATTACAATAAGAATTCTAAACAATATTGAGAATTACATATATGAACTATTAAAAATAAGTGATAAAACAAAATAACTTGTAAGACTTGTTTAAATTAAGTAAAATAAGATTATTAAATTTAGTAAAAGTAGATAAGTCAATGATATTAAGATTGTACTATTAACATATTAAATAACTAATTATGAATTATTTTATTGTTAGTTCTGATGGAAATAACCGTTTCAATCGTCTATTATATGTGGCTTCGTCATTTGGTAGCTTCCTCATTGCTAGAATAAGATGGAAGTTCAATCTCTCTGTGTAATTTTTACTATTTTTACGGATAATGTCTGCGACGAAGGGTATCTTTAGGTCACGGTAAATATCATAATTTAAGATGTACCAGTCAGCGTTGATGATAGTCCTACATATTTTTAATTGTAGTCTTTCCAGTATTTGTATGATGCATTTACATGCTGTGCTCTATGTCTCCATATAAGTGCGATTACTGTTTTATATATTAGTAGCTTATTTTCCACTGTTAGTTTTGATTTTGAGCAGAGTAACCAGTACAATTGTCAAAAGCGACGCTTAGTTTCATTACTTTTAGCTTTGATCTGGTCTTTCCACGTTAATCTGCTCTCAATAGTAATACCAAGGTAATTGCCTTCGTGTGTGTGAAGACTTCATCATTGTTAATTTTTATACGTTTTAGATCATATTCGTGTAGATGACATGTACTGTTTTGTATTTATTTGTATTTGTATTTATTTGAATTCCCCATTTGTCTAACCATTAAAGCGTTGCGTTTAAGTAATTCTGCAAGTTGTCCATGGATTTGTCAAAATTTTGCTAGTGCCAAGTTGGCAACGTTGCTGAAAAACGCAGAGCTGTATTTTCAAAAAATTTTTATAAAAGGATATTTTCGTAAATATAAGGAATTAAACTTAAACAAAAGGCATTATTCTTATAGAGTTTTGAAAGATCTTTTGATTGGCATTTACCAATTTGAAATACGATTCGTATTTTTCAAATTATAGGGAAAAAATATATTGACCAAAATCGACTTTTTTTGAAAAAATTTATTTTTAGAAAAATCTAGAAAAGGTACAATATTGCACGCAAATACATCTAATAGCGAATTAATCAAGCTATCAATAGAAAAAAAACATAAAAATCGAGTAGACAAATTTTGAGAAATTTGATGTCAAAGTTAAATTTCTAAACTCGTCAAATTTCAAACTTTTTAAAATATGTAAAATGCAAAAGTATAAAAAAAATGCTCACGAAACCAGGTAAACAAGAATTATTTCAGTATTTTAACTAGAACATAAAAATATTATTAAAATAAGTACATATTTTGCACATGTTAAGTACATATTTTGCACAAGTGCATTTTATTTAAATTTCGAAGGAGGTACAACCTGCACGCTCAAAGTTCCTAAAACTAGATTGATCACTCTTTCAAACGAAACTAATTTCACAAAAATCCAGTAGAACGTTTTTTAATTATATATGTTTAAAAAAGTGGTGTTTTTACGAATAAAATGTATGTTAACTAACACCATTCTAATAACAGATTCAGATGAAAAGCTGTGCAATGCTAAAAACTCAACACCACTGTAAAGTTTAATAAAGAACTCTGTTAGAGGTATTTATTGGCGGATATATTCTGTGTTAAAGAGATAATAATAACATTTAATTTAAATAATAATGAATTTAATATTTAAATTAAATTTAAAAATATATTGCTTATAAAAAACTAAATTTTTGTCTGTAAACTGCATAACATACAGTGGCTCACAGCTTATTTGATGCAAGCAAAAATTTTTTGAAAAATGTTGTTTATTTCAAAATGTTTTGCCAAATTAAAAAAACAAAGTATGCAGAGTTATTGTTTATAGTGTGTTTATTCATTTAAAAAAGAAAAAACCCAAAAATCTTCTTCCATTCCTTAGTAATGCATCAAAAACCAAAACCAAATGAAAAATTCATGTCACAGCTTAAATGATGCAGTTAAGAATACCGTTATTTTTGTCGCCAGATTACACAGAAATTAAAATATTTTTATTCTGCGATCATTTGTAATCTAGTTTTTTAGCGAAAATATTATAAAAATTAAAGTGAGTGCATTTTGTTAACCATGGGACGGCGCACATCAATTGAAAAGCGTGAGCTAGTGTTGGAGTACTTTAAAAAGGGAATTCCCCAGCGTAAAATTGGTGAAATGGTAAATATAAGCTCTTCAACAGTTTAACACATAATTGAACGCTTCGTACATGAAAATCGCATAGAAAATAAGGGACGAAAGGCTCCCAATAAAATTTTTACAGAAAAAGAATCGAGGTATTTGGTAAACCAAATTCGAAAAAATCCAACAATTAGCGTTCCAAAGTTGACAGACATGGCCAAAATAGATTTTGGAAAAATTTATCATCCTGAAACCGTCCGCAGAATATTGAGAGAATCAAATTTCAATGGAAGAATAGCTGTAAAGAAACCTTTCGTAAGTGCAAAAAATAGAATTAAAAGGTTGCAGTTTGCACGAGAGCATTTAAATAAGAGTCCAGCATTTTGACGAAATGTACTTTTTGCAGACGAAGTCAAAATAAACTTATTTGGATCAGATGGAAGATCTTATGTATGGCGCGAAGTCAATTCTGAGCTCAAACCACAAAATTTACGTG